TTACTGTAGCAATGTGTCATTACCATGTAGTACCTTCAAAATGTCACAACAAAAGTAAAATTCATTTGGAACAGGGTGCTTCCTACAGGGGAAAGGCTTCCTTTAGGGGTAATTCCACTCTTGTGTATTGGACAGCATSATACCAGTCTCATTCACATCACAGAAAAGAGCAATATGCGTAGGCTATACACTTGCTCAAAACCACACAGCCACACACTGAGAGAGAACCTGCTCCCTCTCGTCACCCATGTAATTCTGGGTGTCATTTACCTACTACAGTTATTCCAGATTCTTCCATCTCTTTTGTATTTTATTTGGTAATACAGTTGATCAAATAATGCTAGTTATATCAGCCTCATATCAGCCATTTACTGTAAATACCCAGTTATTAGTTATTTACTTCAAAGGCAGCGTGGTCAGCAGGTTGAGGAAGGTGATTCTCACCCTCTACTCTGCTCTAGTGAGACCTCACCTGGAGTGCTGCATCCAGCTCTGGGGTCCCCAGTGTGGGAAGGACTTGGAGCTGCTGGAGTGAGTCCAGAAGAGGGCCACGACAGTGACCAGGGGGCTGGAGCCCCTCTGCTATGCAGACAGGCTGACAGAGCTGGGGATCTTAAGCCTGGAGAAGAGAAGGCTCTGGGGACACCTTATCACATATTCCTGTACCAAAAGGGGGCTACAACAGAGCAGGAGAGGGACTTTTCACATGTAGTGATAGGACAAGGGAACCTGTATGGCCTTAGGGTGAAGGGAGGAGGTTTGGATTAGGTATTAGGGAGAAAGTCTTTACTGAGAGTATGGTGAGGCACAGGTTTCCTAGAGAAGTTGTGGACTCCCCATCCCTGGAAGTGTTCAAAACCAGGCTGGATAGAGCTCTAAGCAATCTGGTCTAGTGGAAGGTGTCCCTGCCCATGGCAGGAGAGTTGGAGGTAGATGAACTCTGAAGTCCCTTCCAACTCAAACCATTCTCTGATTCTGCAGTAATTTGTACACTGTCAGTGGCAGTAACCTATGCTAATTTCTTCAAAAACCATAGGGGTGTAGTAAAACTCTCCCATGTGCAGAAAAGCTCCAGATTAATCTAAGTAGAAGAAGTGAGGTACTCTTTAAAAAGTGCGTAGGTCAACAATTTTGGCTAAAGCAGTTGGCCATCACAGCAGAGTCCTGTAATGGCTCAGCATAAAAACACAGGGAAAAATTATGCAAGCTGTGTTAAAACACTGCCTTTGGTTTCAAAGAAAAGCATCAGAAGTGACACCATTTAAAAGATTGTACAGTTCTACTTACAAGTCAGAAGGTTACATTTCTTATTCTGCCTTCACTTTTTTCATCCATGGAAATCTGTAATGGTTTTGCTGTCAGTGGGATTAAAAAGTGTCTTTATGCGAAAGGACTGTTTTGTTATGTGTGGCTCTCCAGCTCTACAGAACTTTGTTAGCTGTGAGTAACCCCCTRGAAAATGAATTTCCAGTAGCTACTGACATGTTTAAAAATTAACTCCAAAGCCAGATTAAAAACCACTGAGGATGTTACCCAGAGTATGGAGAGGAGCAGTGCAATGTCCTGTGGCACACATTGTCCCTGACCCTAGAGGTTTCTCCCTGGCTCTTAGGAAGGTCAGGCTCCTTGTCCAGGCTTGATCCAGAGCCACTGAAACTGATGGCAGAACTCTCACTAAGTCCTAAAAGGTGGGTCAGAAAAAAGACCATCTGTCTTTTGTTGAAATTGTGCAAGGGAATGCAAACAGTGATACTGAACACACTGGAAGTGGTGCTTTCCATAAGAAACCTGATGGAAACCACAGGATTATTTCACAGAGCCCACCTTTCATATGTAAGTTGCTATCAGTYGCTACCACTGCTAATTTAGAGCTAAAAGACTTTGGATCCCATTACTAACCAAAAGTCTTCCAACTCTCTTCCCCTTGATGAATAATAGCATACTTGATTCCTTTAAAAAGCTTGAGGCTTTCAAGAARTTCAGCCTTGGTAGTTTCACAGCCTCCACATCCAAACATCAAGACACCACTTGGTGGTGCTTGGTTGGTTAAGTGCTGTGCAACTTGCAAAACACTTATCTATCAAAAATGACATGTGGAAGAAGGGAAAGCAAAACCAGGTGAAAAAGTAGATCACCATGAGAGACATACAGTCCAAAAATCCATATTTCCAGCTACTGAAGAAAAAATTGTGAGATAATCACAACATTGCCATATAAATTGCAAAAGTAAATAAAGAGTAGAGTCATCAGGACCTTCAAAAACAAACTATTAATTTGGAAGAGGCTCTTCTCCACATCAGCTGGAGCAAAGGAGCCAAAATTTGTACCTAARAGATTTACTGTCCAATTCCTTCCCCCTGTAAGTTTCTATAAAGACAGTGACAAGCCCAGAGAAACAGCAATGCATCAGGATGTTTCAATGACTGTGGAATAAATYCGGTGTGAGGTGGTCAGTGGAAGACTATGTGGAGGCACTACAAAGATCACACTGTTACACTTACAGGCTCAATCTTTCACGGTGCTGAACTTTTTCTGAGAGCAGCAGTGTTTTGGTTCCTGATGAAAACACACAGCACTAACGAGAATGAGGCCGTAAGTTCTCCTGGTGTGGTYGGTCACTGAAGGCAAAACAGAAAAAGCAGCTGCTCCCTGATTATTCAGAAACTCTACATTCTTTACTTCAGACAGCAGAGAAGCTGTTCAGAGATAAGTAARCTCTCGGACTCTGCCTGCTGTTGAAAGGCACACACATACCCCTGCATATCTCTATCATATTATTTGGGCAGGGGAGAAAACGACCACTCTTTGGAAATCTATTCAGCTGTCAGATCAACCCCTTTATCTSGTTTCATACTGTTAGCTGAGAAGACAAGGATCCCCCCATCAACCCAATTTGGTGTTAACTGATTCAGCTTTCATCAGATTTTTTTTCTGAACTCAGAAGAAACCCGACAGCCAGATCTTTGTGGGCTTTCCAAATGAGGTCCAAAAAATCTCACTTGGCAAAACACTTTGTGTGGGGATGTATTCAAATGTGCAGAAATGTCCCCATAAGTGAAATGATACCATGAAGTGAAATGGTGGGTGCAAAATGAGTGGCCTGGGCTATGTGCATGAGGCAGCACAATTACAACTCTGTTCTGGATTTAAAACCTGCCTTCYAGCCCTAACAGGATTCTTTGGTGAGGACAATAAAAAGAGCTCTAAGTGTATTCATTTGTGTTTATCTGAGCCCTCAAAGTACTAATAGCCAGAGGAAAAGCTAGTTAGGTAAACAGCATAATTTTCTTTTGCTGAATTTGGTTCAAAAATTAACTAGAACTGCCTCAAACACAGCGAAGGAATTGTTGCGATTTTGAAACTCAAATCCCAGTTGCAGGTTTAAAGATACTATTCTTCCAGCAGGGGCCCTGGAGATTTGTGCAGTAAGGCATTACTAACCATGAGTAAGGATGCAAGGGTCTGTACTTAAGCTAACAGAAGTGATGATGTGTGAAAGGCTTCTGCTTCATTTTGACATGGTGATACAAGGGATAGGCAGATTTTGGGACAGACCATCTTTATCTGTCTGGCAGTCTAGGGATTTAAGCTGTGTCTATCACTCTGGCATTTCTGTGTGCTCAGACAGCATCTGGAGGAAACATTCCCCAATTATTCTCAAAGTAAAGTGGTCAGGGATGGTTATCCCAAGAGGGACCCCAGARGAGCTTCATTTCATTCACAGAGGAGGTACTTGWGGGGGAGCAGAGAAAAGGGCATTAGGGAAAAGTGCAATCCTGATGGAAAAGCCAGTGCAGACTCTCCACTTGGAGAGCCTTAAAAGGAATTGTGCTCATTACTCCCTGGACCCTCAAACGGAGCCACCCTGCCTGGGCAGCCAAAAATGGTGCCCTACAAGGAATCCTATTTAAAGAGATTTCTCTGCTGCACAGCCCCACCTTACACCGCCACATGCATGCTAAGAAAGCCTGCAGCCCTCTCTGCCCAAGACATTGCCTCTCAGTCTGCCCYGAGTACTTGGAGCCAGGGACACTTGGCCCATTACTGCAAAAACCCAACCAACCCACAAGGAAAAGATTCCCATATGTTCTTCATGGAGCAAATGYATCCCAGGAGTGCTGGAATCACCTGGTCAGTCAGCAGGTGACTTCACTTCAACTATGCTGCTAGTGTGAAATCTTGATTTTTCACCAGAAGAAAGAAATTTTACAACACACCTTTTACATCAGGTTAAGGTTTGAACCTCTCTACCTCAACAGAGTCTCTGTAACATCTAATTTTTATGGGTACCTGAACTCTGGAATACTAATGTTCTCTGGTTCTTTGGGTGTATATTGCAAGCATCACAAACATATTTTTATTGGTATTTGATGGCTGCTTCATTTGCCAAGTACTCATATCAAATTTATGGAAGGCTATTTCTGAGTGATATAAATSTGGGAAATCCCTTTTGTTGAGACATGGTATTAATCATGTTAGTGCCTAGATCTCTGTGCCCTTAGACCAACAAGATATACTGCTGCAGTGTCTACAGCCAGCTCCGAAAAATACAGTAACTTCTGACTGATTTTATGCTTCAAAAGAGATGGGATAACCTGGTTCTTTAACGATCCACTGTCACTTCAGCATTCTCTCTTCCTTTCCCCCTCATATTGCCTACACCTTTGCATGCTTAAGATTGAAAGTGTGGAAGGAGTGACACGGGAACTGCCCCATCCTGAGTGTCGATACAACTCACAGCAACAGCACCAGGGATGCCAGTGCAGGTCAGGATCATATCGAGGCATTGCTTAGCATTTATATGAGTGTATTCCCAGATTAGGAGCAACTAGCACTCAGTAATCTCCATTAGTGACAGCCAGCTCTGTYTCCTGCTACCCACAATCATTCACCACAAAAAAGAAGGGTGGCACGCAGCCTCCACTGAATGTCCTGCTTTCTTATGACCCGGATTCCATGGAAAAAAAGGGGCTAACCCTCTCACATCGTGCAYTCCCTACCTTACAGCGTGGTGTTTAATCAGCAGGGAGGATACAGGTACACCAGCAGAGTACCTTGGTGCTGGATGTGGGCCTTTCCTCATGGCAAAGACTGTTCCAACAACCTCCATGTCTTGGAGGTGCAAACACATCTGCTGCAAAGAAGGCACATCATATTGTATCGTATCATATCATATCATATCATATCATATCATATCATATCATATCATATCATATCATATCATATCTATCATGTCATATATCATATATATCATATCATATATCATATCATATTTTATTGGACTGAATCATGTCATCTGTCCTCTTAAGTGTGTATTTATATATATAAATGTATATAATTTTAAGTATTATTTTGTCTTATATTTGCACACTTACTGGGGGCCCATTCTGCTTTTCCGATGTACGTTAACCTGCATGGGCACTTGGTGCATGAGGGCCTGGAGGTTTTATTATTGAGTCACTGACTCTTTACCTGTGTCTATGAAAGCAGGTCTGTGGGATCCAGCTGAGCCTCCCTCAGTCTGTCTCTGGTCTCTCTCACTCATCCTCCCTCTGTGTCTCCTGTTCTGCTACACCCATAGTGCCACATATTTGTCTATCAAAGACCTGGTGGGTTCATCCAAGGTCCACCGTATGTCAGGGTAAGTGACAAGAGTAGTTAATTGAGTGTAAATAAATCAGCCAGAAATCCATCCCCACACCTAGAATTGTTTACAAATATTTTTCAAAGATTGTTCCATTAAGTCTTCACTGACTTGAATTTGGTGCTTGGGAAAAATCTGTCTGGGTATGACTTGCCAACATGATGRCAAGGAAGTGACAGGGCTGCCACATCCTGCACCCAAGCTAAGCAAAACACCGTGCAGTTGACCTGCACATGTACAGCCAGTCTGACACATTCCAGAGCCATGGACTCTTGGAACAAGTCATCTCTGTGTCACTTGTGCCAAGATTTTGATGTCTACAGAAATGTTCTTTTCTGTGGGTTTTCCTTATTAATCACACAAAACTGCAAGGCAATACATCGCACTGCTCTGTCACTAAYATTTTCAGGCCAGGCAGGTCATGTCTGGTCATCTTTCCAAGGAAAAATTCTCTATTTAATTACTCCACTGGTGAAAACCATCAGAAATAGGCAAGCATGTGTCATTAAATCTCTTCTGTTTCACGCTGTTGGGTGCCTGGCTCCCCGCAGCACAGCGGGGACTGCACTGGCTTCTGCAAGAGATCTGACCACTGAACACAGAGGTCTGGAGAACATTGGTCCTAGTGTTGAGAGAGCAGCTCTCTCCAGACCAGTCCAGCGTTAATCCCACGAGTAAGTAAGCCAATTTGTGCCAAATATGGTTTTTCCTCTCCTGTGTCGAGGCCACCCATCCAGCACTGGTCACTGAATAGCAGCTATGACAGGAAGATTTTAACCTCRGCTAATGGCAACCAGAAAGTGACAGACTCATTTTCTTATTACCAGTCTTCTTAGGACTGAACAGGCAATTATTTTCTTGAGAAGACTGYTTCTGTGTACTAAATTACATGGACTATCTCCAAAGAGCAGTGACAACTCAGTAAGCTGGGTGTAAGCTGGGTTACCTCTCTTGCCAACCCAGAAACTGCTCTCAGTAACCCCGCAGTGGTGTTGACAGACTCCAGAAATAGCCACRAACAGTGTTTTCTTACTACAAGTCAGGTCTGGGTCGTATCAGTAGAGGAGGTGAATTAAAAATGACACGGGGAGCCATAATGTGGGGTGTCATCCCTCTCTACACTCAGTCCCCAAATGTGGTACAGAACCATGCCCTGCATGCAGCCTCTTATAAATGGGAGCAATCCCTTTTAAAGCTGGAACTGGGGATGCCTGAAACCTTCAGAGCTTCCTGATTTCTAATATTTCTCCTCACATTCCTTCACTGCTAAATGAATGGCATGACTTTCTCAATGTTTYCTTTTACCCAACTCTTTCTTACAGTTTTCATTTAATTTTAATGCAAGGGCACCAATCCTAGTTTATGTCATAATAGATGGACAACAATAGTGCAGTTTAACTAAAATAACATGCTAAACAGTGCTACATGTTGACGGAGTAGTGATGGATAAAATGTGGAGTGTTTTCGTGGTTTATATCTTTCAAAGAAGAGCTGGCAAGTGTACAACGTGACAAATGTATTTAAGAATCTATGCCATTCAAATGATACTGCCACATGTCTGTTTGGGATTTTTCCCATCTAAATGTGGGAATATGGGCACAGATTCACTTGCATACTGTGTTCTCCTAACATAAAGTGTCGGCATCTCCGAGGATGTGTCGGTGGCACCCGATGTCACCAGACACACTGCAAAGGAGACAGCTGAAATAAGTGTACATTATGTGTGCCAGGCAGTCTTCGTTTGTTTATTTCATGCAAAGAGAAGGGGATCGTGCTCAAATTATTCTCACTGGAAATTTGTATCAGCATGAGAAAGAGAAAAACTTATCATTTGCATTTCAAGGCATTGCAAGTCCCTATCCTAACTGAAGTCGGCATTTATGGTACAAAGAGACCAGATCCTGATGTGAGCGACAACGATGTAAAAAACCCCCCTAATTCACGTCATCTTGACTGAATTATTCTGCAYTTACACCGGTTTCACTAAGATGGAATCTGGCTCATGGTCTTTACACATATACATTTTGTGTCTTTTTCTCCTATTGTTTGCCACAATAAGCCACCTCCTTTGTTTATTATTTTTTATTTGTGCAATGTATTCATATTCTCAGAGTCCATCTGCTAAAAGTATCCTATTTAAAAGAAGATGGCATCATTAGCTACCCTCTCTCGCTATAAAGAAAGGAGCAGTTCCCATATTTTCACCCAGTTCAGTGGCTCGGTGGATGCACTAATCTTGCTGAACACTTCAGTTTAGATGGTATATCAATGAGGCATTCAAACAGAGCAGTTTATACACAAAAATTCTGTCTGCTTTGTAAAAGATTATCCTTTTATAAACACTCTGCGGAAAACATAAAAGCAAATAGGGAACAGCACATAGGACAGGAAAGATGTTAGAAGGGAGATTAATACTGAATGGGTCGAAATGAATGGTGCTTACCAAAACGAGGTCCAGATACTTTGGCTGCAGTGAAACATAAATAATGGGAATGACACATCGTTTATTCGGGATAATGAGTTGATCCGAAGTAGGGGCCTAGAACAAGAGATTAAAGATTAAATATCCATCTCCTGATGAATATCAGTAGCAAACTTTAACCTTTTCCTTCCAAAAGCACAATTTCTTTGAACAATCATGTCAGCACAACACAGTGAAGAAATGGACTAAAGCAAACTTAAATCACGTTCTTACCCTTGTCCTGAAAGAAAACACTGCTTTGCATTTTAAGACACAGTGTTGTATTTTTATTTCCAGGCTCGTAACTCTTTCGGAATAATTATGTGAGAACACAAAGATTTTTGCTTGATGTTTTGTATTAGAAAAATCTGGCTTTAGCATTTATTGCTTACATTTTAGTTCTCTGCAATAATTGAAGAAAGAACATGCCCATCCTGAACATTCACTTGGGTGGAGAGATAATGACAAAAAGCAGCCTGCTGGAAAAGCACAGCACACCACATGCCGAATTAGAGTCTTGAATGCAAGGAGGACTTGGAAGATGTCACAAGCTTTGGATCAGGAAGGGCTGGAAGTGTAGTGAAGGGGGGAAAGGCACAGACAACTGGGGACAGCAGGCTGACTGTACTGCAGTGCTGGCAACTGGTCCAAGCTGGTCAATTAGTGGCACTTCTAGCTCAAGATGCTGTACTGCAACTGAGGCAGAAGACATAGGACAAGCGGGAATCTGGATAGCTGAGGCTTGCCCAGAACTTGGAACAGAGCAGCTGCTGGACGCATGCAGCCAGCCAAGCCCCGCATTGTGGTTTTGTTGCTGATGGCTGCCTCCTGCAAGAGGGATAAAACTGGGGACAGAGGGAGGAGGGAGGAGGGGGYGAGACTTTCAAATGACATTTAGAAAACAGCCAAGCTAGAATGCAGGAGCGAGTTCAGCCTGCTTTCACCTGCTTTGTGGAAAGGGGTTCACTAGCAAAAGGGGTTTGTGGTTTCATTCCACTCTCTAGGGAACGCGCTGASCCAGTGCCAAACCAGCGCGCATGTACAGCTGGCAGTTTCCCTGCAGAGGAAGCCTAGTACTGGAGGCTGTGGAAAAGTATCCATTTTTTCTTGGTAAATATTTGCATGCAAAACCAGATATCCCCATAGATTTTTGTGAGGCTCTGCAAACTTGTTAAAGGGAAGGATTTTTGGATATGTGCTGGGGAAGTGAGCAGGCACAGGGACCAATGACGACATGGTCTTGGGGGGTGAGCTCACCGAAATGTTTCTTGAAGGACACCGAATACCTTTCAGACAGCAAGCCTCACACTTTGGCAACAGAACAAAAATATTGTCATTTCACACTGTCCCTTTTCACCATGAATCCAGATAGGATTTGATGTGTTTCTTCTTGGGACAGAGATGCGAGTTCTCTCAGGCACCTTTCCTCATGGGCCGTCATGCAACAGCATCACTCCACTGCCTTTCTCCTAAAACCTCCTGAAGACCTCCTGGAAAACCTCCTGCTGCTGTATCACAGGTAATMCACCAAGAATAGGACCACAAGGTCAAATAAATGCAAGTGAAGGAAGAGGACTTGGGGTTCTGGGCTGGTAGAGCGGCAGAGCTGACAAATCAGAGTAGTAAGGGCAAATCAAGTAGTAAGGGCATGAAAACAAGACATATGGCTGGTTATCCTCACGGTCAGCCAGGACCAGGCTCTGCAGGGCTTGGCTTGCCTAGGCAGTCCATGCTGGAGAGTGGGCTGGGTTTTCCACCGCTGCTTGCAATGGCAAAAGGAAGGGGAGGTCCGTCCCTGTCGGTGCCAAAGCAGCTGCCTCTGCTCCAGGGAACGAAAGCGCTGCTCTCCAGGGACTCGGGCCGCCGTGCTTGGCTCAGCTGCTCGGCCCATTTTCAGCGCCCCGCGCTGATTTCCAGCCAGACAGGCTTTTATCCTTGAGATACGAGCAGCGACTTGCCTTTTATTCAGAAAGAAGCATCCATTTTCGAGCATTACCGCAGCACAGATAACAAATATTACAAACAGAGCTGTGAGGGGATGCCAGAGCCCYGCTGCTGACTGAGGCCTGACCTCTGGAAAGGCCACATCGCCGTGTCACACCACAGTGCTTGGCACACATCAATCCCAACAGATTTCAGGAGAAGGTATGATCCCAAAGGCCCCCAGTGTGGCACAAAGTGGGACCCCCAAAACTCCTGGTGGTCCCAAGGTTCCTGATAGCAGCACTGACTTTTCTAGGGAGTGACCTGATGGCGCTGGGCCTTCCTGCCCCTCTTCACTCACCTCACCTCACCTCACCTCACCTCACTGCTGAGGAAGAGGAGGAGCAGCTCCCAGATGATTCCAGCACAGGGTTATGGGGAAGTATTTGCAACGTTAATAATGTGAAGATGGTGATGTGAGCAGCATGAGACAGATAACAGACTATTCCAGGAATATTTGTCYGAATTCATTGGGTAGGAGTGAGTTTTTCAGGGCTGCTTTCAGTATGCAAGTGGAAGTTTAACTAGTGAGCTGAAATCCAAAGAGTTTGTATTCATGGAGAGCTATCTGCCTGAACATCTGATTATGCACAGGAGTGAGGCTTTTGGATTGTAAAATTAGATGGAAAATGTCCACTCTGGGAAAGAMAGTACAAGTCTTTTGTGAAACTGCCCTGGGAGGAACCCCAACTCAGGTGTTCACGGCTTGACTTGCACARGAGGGTTGTATTTTAAACAACTGTGAATAAATCTGTGCAAACAGACGTGAGTTTTCTTAGCAAACTGCCCCAGCACCAATATCCACAGTTTGTCAGTTGAGGGTGGGGGACAAGTCCAGGTGCCACCCAACTTGTCCCTCCAGCCACCACAGAATACCCCAGGTACAGCCCTCCTTGCCCTGGGTTTGCTCAGTAATCCATGGAGAGAAAAAAAGTTAGTATTAGCATCATACTAACAGCTGAGGTGAATCTCACCAAAAAAACACTTGCCTCTCTCCTTTGGTTACTTGAATATTTTATTAGGATCGTCTCACTAACTATGCAGGTATTGATGCTGAACCTGTTTTTACAGGTGTGAATGATTTGCCAGGTCCTCACATATTCTGATTCCCATCATCATGTCATTTCTGTCAGTGCAAGCCTTTAAGAAAACAAAAGTGGTTTTCCATTGCCAGTGTGAATTTGTTGTATGTGTGTTACCCATTTAGCAGCCAGAGGGGCTTGAATCAGGCRAAACTACCAGAAATGTTACGCTCTGAAATCACAGGATGGGAAACTTAGACTCTGTCAGAGATCYTTGGACACTGAACCTGAATCCAAATGTCACTCCAAGCAGTTATGGAATATGGGGACATATCAGCTTGCACCTGGTTACAGATCTGAAATCTGGATTTAGACCCAGTAACTAGAAGCAGCAGACAGAAGTGCACCAACAAACCTTACCCACACCTCCCTAAGATGGAATTGGTGTATCTGAACCTGGTCCAGCTTAGGGAGCAGGGCTGGAAGAGCACCTTGTAACAACCTGACCTTGGTTACCTTGGGGTAACCAGCAAGGTCTGGAGGGTTTGGCAGCCAGCAGCAGAGCACCAGCGGCTGTAAAGGCAGGCTGCCCTCTTTCTGCCCCTCAGGGGCCAAGCAACACCTTGGCTGGCAATTCCCTTCACATCAAAGGAGTTTCCCAGAGGCCCTGCTGATGGTCATGGGGGACTGCAATAGCAGCGCAAAGCTGCTTGAGCTGGGTTAGCAGAATGCTCACATATGGTCATGGATTGTACCTTTCCACAAACCAGCTGTACCTCTCAAATAAAGACATACTGGGCAAAGCACAGAAATGCATCTTTCTGGAGATTATTTCCATCTGCACATCACAAAGGATATATTGATTTAGCTGCACTCCTGAGATCAGAGTGGAAACACTGTATAGTCGGGAAGCAGACACATGTGCTGCTTATCAAAGCTGTACACACGGTGCAAAAAGACACCAGTGTGGAGAGCAACCAGCTATATTTGCACCAGCACACAACCTGTCCTGTAACGCTCTAAAACAAAGGAAAAGGAAGTGCTGAATGCTACTGTTCCTGAGCAAACGGCATGTGAGGAGCACACTGACCCCAGCTGGACTCATGGACATGAGGGACTTCAGTAGCTAACAATGACTGTAGCTGCCAAGGATCACCCCCAAAGCATGTGTATTTATTTATTCATTTATTTGTATTCCTTGGAGCTGCAGAAAAATGCAATAATTGACACAATGGGAAAGAATATCCCAGATTATGAGCTCCAAGTGGAATACGTCTCCAGAGCAAGGCTGTATTCTCCTGCAAGGCTCTTCCRCCCATCACAAGGAGGAAAAGTTAAATATTCCTCAAAATCCATGGCATCCCTGTTTGTAGATGGTGACATAAGTAAGTTCAAAAATGACAAAGCAAGAAGTCAGTGACCTAGATCATGCAGTGCCACTGGCTGCTGGCAGTGCRTGTACCTCACACTGGTGTAGGAACTATCAGAGAAATGTGTGGAGGCAGAGAGGACACTGGTCTTTCTGCAGCACTAATTCTTCCTAGTGACTCTGGGATTATTGAGAACAAGGAAAGTTAGTAGGGGAAAATCATTGAATCATTTGGGTTGGAAGAGACCTTTAAGATCATCGAGTCCAGCTGTAAACCCAAGTCCACCCCCAAACCACGTCCCTAAGGGAGTTCACTAGAAGTGTGTCAYAGTGCCACATTACATGTCTTTTAAATATCTCCGGGGCTGCTGAGCCAACCACTTCCCTAGGCAGCCTGTTGCAGTGTTTGACAACTCTTTCCATGAAGAATTTTTTCCTAATATCCAATCTGAACCTCCCCTGGCTCAACTTGAGGCCATTTCCTCTTGTCCTGTCCCTTGTTACCTGGGAAAAGAGACTGACTCCCACCTCGTTACAATCTCCTTTCAGTTAGTTGTATATATACAAATAAGCATATATGGGATGATCCTTGTACTAACTTCAGATATTTCCCTGTAAGATCAGTTGGGTGGGACTTTGGGCAGTCTGGTCTGGCCGCACATAGCCCTGGYCATTGCAGGGCGGTTGGACTACGTGACATGTAA